GGGTCGGCCCCAATCAAATGTGGCAGTTGTCACACTTCGACACGGGTAGCTGTTCGATTTCAACAGAACCCCAACCCCTATCTTTCCAAAAAGGGCACTTAGCAAACGAAGCAAAGGGTCACTTAGGCCACCGACACGACCTTAAGTGCCCTCGATTCAAAAACACGTCAAGTGCATCACAAGGAAGGCTCCACGCGGCAATCTAGCCTTTCTTTTCATGCGAAAGGAGTTTGCAGCCGGAGCCACTGCACAAATGATGCATCTTGCACGAAGTGCGGGCCTTGTTTTGCAGAACGGGGGTCAAAATGGCAAACAGCCGAAGGTCCTGGACAAAAAAACGCTAAGTAGAGCAACAAAGGAAGTAAGAAACTAGAAATTGCTGGCACTTGCAAACATCCATTTCTCATTACTGGCTTTACATAGCCACCCGCTGGCTTGCCGGTCCCCAAACGGCTACAATGTCCAAATCTAATGGGCTTGCCCCAAAATGGGGGAAGCCCCGTCCGACCGGATCGATGCGATCGACGCGAGCGATGCCAAGCCACTGTCCAAGGACGGGAGAGAAGTGCTGTGGCCCAGCCTCAGCTTCCATGCGAGGGACCCAAAAATGGGAAATCGCGGCGTTCCTCTTGGCCTTCCCCCCACAGGGATCCGGATGCATTATACACCTGAACATGGCAACTTGTAAATGGTGGTTTCCCTGTATTTTGGTGGAAAAAGCAATGCTTCAAATGGGCAAAATGTATCTTTTAAGGAGCCCTGCCCCAACAAACTGCTTTTTCAATAGTCCCCAAAATGGAAATTGCGCTTTTCCATTTTGGCCTTCCCCCGTGTCCGAAGCCCAAAATACCCGCAGGTGGAACCCCCCAACCCCGAACGCCTTGGAACCGAATCTCCGGTTTTTCTCTGAAAGCTGCCCCAAACCACCCATTTGGGGTTCCAGCTTAGTCATTTGGAGGGTCGAGCACCCCAGGAGTCTACCGAAAATCAATGATACACACCACAAGGCGGTTGCCCCTGATGGACTGTCCTTCAACCACCCCTGCTATTTGATTCTGAGTCACGTGTTAGGGGATGACTGGAAAAAAAAAAAAAAAAAACATGGGCTGGACTTGTGCCATCTACTTTCCTGATCTTCCGGATGATTTTTGGGCCCTGAGGGAGCCGGGTTGTTTTCAAGGGTGGAGGGGTCCGTGTTCTTCGTTGGAGGGCCCGGGAGCCTTGGGGTGCCTGGCTTTCTACCGGACAAACACGCTCTTGTTGCCACCCGCCAAGGGGAACCTCCCGCCACCTCTTGGGAGGTCGACCTGCTGCCAAACTGACAGGAGAATCGGCACATGCCGAGTGCCCCCTTTTTACACCTTAGGGGTCTGTCTTTTTGGGGGGACCCCCCAAAATGGAGGGGGTCCTTTTTGGTTCTAAAACCGCCAAACATAGGTGACACGCCCATATAAGTTGGTAGCAGCCTTTCATTCCAGCACAGTTGAGCCAAACAGCAACCAATTGTCAGCCAAACTGACCAAAAAGGACACCTGTGGCTACAAGTCTCAACTCGCATGGAATCCCAAAGCAAAATTGCCCAAGATTCTCCAGTCAGGATCCATAAACGGCTAGATCTCACATTCAAGCGGCTTCTTCTTCATGGTGAAGACCAAGCCGGACATGGGCGGCTTGAAGAATTGCCCAGTCGTCTCCTTGCGACACATCATAGCAAGCATTGGCAAGGCCGCTAAGGGCCCAGTTTGCGCAAAGGAAAAAGGGAATCCCCCATGAACAAGTTGACGACCCAAGCAAATTGCAGCCGCGTCTTTGAAGGTAAGGGACAAAGACGCAACTGCGTTCTGCGGGTGTATTTTCTGTGGCTGTGTCTTGAAAGGGACCCCCCAAATGCTTTTGCTTCTTGTTGGTTGGTGTCCCTTCACAACCACGTCAACGAAGGCTACCTTCAACAACAAGCACACCCAAATGGGACCCCTCAGGAGGGTTTTGTGGGCGCCCTATTTCAAGATAAACCCCAACTGTGAAGTGCCTCTCAGCGCTCAACTCCCAAACCACGAATCCAAACCCCCTCAAAAGAAAGCCCAGCATTCCAGAGATTCTCCCGCCGCTACCGTCAAAATGCGCTCGACCAAATTTGAGCTCAGTTATGATGAATCAAAACCTGGGATTAAACAGGCCTACCCAAATCCATAAAGAATCAAAAGGGCGGCCGCACCTGTTTATGGTTGGGACTGTTCCTTGCCAGCCTTGTTTTGGTGCAGTGCCTCCTTTTTGCAACGATCCCAGACGCCCATCCCAGAAACCAGCTACAAGTACAGGACATACACCTGCGGTTCGGCCCAAACCCCTGGTGTTGGAGGCTGTGGCTAAGTTCGTGCAGGATTTCCGGTAGCTTTCCAGTCACCCCATGAGTGACCACGCGAAAAATTGTTCGCCGGTGTTTGGCTTGTGAAGCATTGGGTGCGACAAATTGGCAGGACCCAATTCAAGGATTTTTGCCTGGGGGGTTGAACAACCTCCCCAGGCCCAAGCCCCGAAATGCAGGGGCAACATTTGAGTCGCCGGGTTCTTAGAAGAAGGAAGCCTCTTAGAGGGTTAGCGGCCAAACCCCTAAGACCTTGCAAATGGGTGTCCCTTTCCCTTTGCCACCCATCCCCCCCAAAAGAACAAACACACACACACACACACACACACACACACAAATGGGAGCTTCAAAAGTATTCACTGGCGCCACACCAAGCAACATTGGAGTTTCTCAAAAAACGCTCCCCCCCCTGAAATTTTGCCGGCGCCAAAACGCCGCCTCTCTCCCGCATCTTCATCTTTGGCCGAGTCTCATGGGCGAGCCGGGAGCCCTCCTGCCAGGAGCATCCGACCTGGTCCAATTTTCCGTGAAATGTATGATTCCGTGGGATTCGGGTGAGTCCCTGCTGCAATATTTATCCGACCTGGTCAAAATTTGTGGGATCTTGTGGGGGGGTGATTCTGCAAGTTTTACTCCTTGTCAAGTAAAGGATCCCCGAGAAAAGGGATGTTCAAGTTCCAAATCTGAACTATGTTTACAAGAAGTCCAAAACCTGAATGAATGAATGAATGAATGAATGAATGAATGAATAAATAAATGAATACATGAATGAATCCGGGTCTCTGAGCACTAAGTGCTCGAGCGACCTTTAGGGGGAGCTTGTGGGTGGCCCAATGAAAGCCTGAATCTGATATCAGAGATCCCCAAGTAAAGGATCTTTACCTTGGTTTTCGCTCGGATCGGTGGAACCGCCCGCCATCCATGATGCAGTTCCCATGGGACTGTCGGCCTTGCTCCCTGGGATCTTTTTGGTGGCCTCCTCGGTTGATACTTGCAGAGCTTGGAATCTGAGAAGCCCAGAGAAAGGAATCTCTCTGGTGGGGCCGGACGCCCCCCTTTTTGGGGGTTCCAGGCTCGTTTGCGGAGAAGTAATTATTTGGCTCGGGCTCTGCCGTTTTGTTCGGGTACACGCTTTGACTGGTTGGCTAATGTGCAAACGACAACTTGGTCCTGTTTGAGGGGTTTATGGTTTGCACATGTTTACACAGCTGATTTCTTGCCATGCCGTCAGAATCCGCTACGTAGGGGACCACCATCACTTACCCCAAATCGGCGCCAGCACTGCCGTTGCTTCAAACAAAATATCGACCCATACCTACCTCCGGCACGCGATCGCTCCGTTTTGGCTTTCGCTCATGGCTGAGAAATAGCCCACATACCAGCTGGGTGTGTCTGATTTTCAGGTACCCGCAAGCTGCCCGGCTTTCCTTTTGTTTTCCTTTGAAAAACCAAACGCCTGGGCTGCCCGTTTTCAGATCCCCTGCTAAAAGTGACTAACTTTTGGTGGTTCAAATAAAAACCACCACTAAACACCAAAAGGATCTAAAACGCTAAGGAACCGGATTGCTAGTTCCGAGCCACCAAGTGTTGGTTTCCCTTCATTAAAAAAAAGGAGGACCTCCCCTGCTCAAAGAAAGAAACTACAGACCCAGCCGGCTGCCGGATCCACCGCCGGAAGCCGCTGTCTCCGGGTTTAAGCTCTCAGCTTTGGAGGCTCATTCTGAGCGAGGATCCAATCGAGTGGGCTGTCCCAGTTCTAGGGGTGTCTTCCCCAATTTTTAAAAGGCTTGTTTTAAAGGAAACCCATCAAAAAGCCAGAAAAAAAACGCCGGCTTTTGGTTTAAAGGTTGTTGCTTTTTTGGGTTATATATATATAAGACAACCCCTCAAAAGCCCGGGGCTTCTGAAAAGAAGGATGGTTGAAAATGGGAAGCAGAGTGGCTTAGTGTGAAAACGCTACGACTAAACCAACTAAAAAAAAAAAACAGAGGGGGAGGCTGGGAACCACGTATGTCGGGTGTCCTTTTTGAGTTGGTACCACTTGATTTGTGGATTTAAGGGAACCTTGGAGGAAAACTTGCTAATTGTGGAGGTCCCCTAAGAACGACACACCCATCTCTCTCTCTCTCTCTCTCTCTCTCTCTTTCGCTAGTGCTATCCCGCAGGTCCCAAATTAGGAGCCCTCGTGGCCTCTGAAACTAGCTGCCAGCACTCGGCTAGCCAATCCTAGTCCATCCCTGCGGATTGCCTTTCAGCTTTTCGGACTATGAAAACAGCCCAAAAGCGCGGACCTTTAGTTGAGGCTGGTACTTCATAAAAAAAAAAAAAAAAAAAAAAAAAAAAAAAAACATTTCGGGTAAGGAAGTGGGCGTCGCTCAGCGAAAGCCAACTTTCATCTCACCTCCTGAGCGCATTGGCACTAGAAGAAGTCACCAAACGGTCTGTTTACCAGTTAAAATGGTCCAAACCCAAACTGTTTAACTTGGGTGCTGATCCCCCAGCAAAAAGTTGTCAACTTTTTGCAGGTTACAAGGAAGTATGAGGGGCCCCGCGATCCAAAAAGTTCAAGCCTAAAGATCCAACCCACTAGCAGTAGACTGAAAGTCCGAAACGGAACTCAGGACGTGAATTTCCCTCATGGCGCGGAGTTCCACTTCTTCCCCGTCGCCTCAGACTGGGAAGTCCTGGCGAACGGGAAAGCATCCCGAGACAAGGGCAACCCCGTTTTGGGGTGGCTGAGGATAAGGGAAAAACCAACCTCCAATGGCCGAGATCTCAAAGAGGGACTGTGCAAAACCAAAACGAGGAAAAGTGGAGCATCACGAGGTCCCTCCATTTGCTTAAGTTCTCTGCAAAAAAACAAAAATCTAGTCGTGATAGATTCCCATCAAAATCAACAGGGGAAAATGCAAAATATTCTTAAGCAAATGGAAGGGTCTGGGCCTCGAAAAAGGCCCCCCAAACGTGCCCGATCCTGCCCCCAGGCACGGCATGAAAGCCGCTTGCTCAGATGAAAGGAGCCCTGGCTTGCTGGGTGGCCGGCGCCCCCTCCAGTGGAGTGCCGTATTGCACCTCTTCCTCCCCCCCCACCCCATATCCCCCCCTAATTCTGTGCGCCAGTTCCACCCTAACCGCAAAAGGAGCCGCCCATCAAAAGACGGGCCCCTGAGCAGCGAATCGGTTTTCGGGTTGCCCCGTATCTTCAACTTCCATAGCCCATGCCAAACTTGTTTTCTGAAGGAACTCAGGGTAACGACGAATGAGCTGGCTGGCTGCATCTTATGTTAGCTGGCTGGCTGAGCTGGCTGGCTTTGTTTCTTAGCTGGCCGGCACTCAAAACTACCTTAACGGCACCCAATGTTTGAGCAAAGAAGCCCCTGATTCAAGACGTCCCTGTTTCCCCCCAGATACATTTGCTTCTTGCCAAATCAACTGCCAACACTTTTGTCAACCAACGCAGGCCAATACGCATTCCATAGTTTGAAGGGTTGCCATTCCAAAAACCATCAACGCGAGCTCTGCTTGCAAAAAAAAAGCCAGGCTCGACGAGCTCGTTCGGGTTGAAATCCAAACCCAAAAAAGGTGCCTGAAGACTACAGCCCCCCCAGGGCACTTTCCAGCCCTTGAAATTGTTTTTTCTTTAAAGCAACAACAACTTCCTTCGGGGACAGGGGGACTTTTCCAAAGTCCGATTTCAGGGACCTGGTCAATGCGGGGAATGAAGTCTACCAATCTGCCAAGCCGCCGAAAGAACCTGACGCGTCCTAGAACCATTCGGGGGGGGGGGGGGGGTTCGCAACCCAAGGGGGGATGGAACAATCATTGCCTCGGTACGGCCATGCTACCATCCCGCTAACTAACATGGAACCTGACACTCCTTGTAGAAGGAGACTTGTTTTCCAGGACCCCCCCCCCCGAATGTCAGGTTCCATGTTAATTGGAGGGTACTCCAAGCCCCCGCTAGGGACTGCAGTCCTAGCCGGGTAGGACGTGCTCGCACGCTTCTCCCCGATCCTCAGCGGAGGGGACGGGCGACGGGTTCGAAATGTTCCTTTTGGCGGCACGGGAGGCTGTTTGCGTTGCTCTGAAGGGTTTGCATGTTCCGTCGTGTAACTTTGTGCCCATGCACGCGCTCTGGCTGCTTGATGTTTGCGTATGCATCACCCAAAGAGAAAACCGTCGGGACCCAAGCAAGCGATTTTCGCCCTAGGAGCACACCCAATGGGACTCAAAGGGAAAGCCCTGGGGAATCTTATAAACTTAGATTATTTAACATAGCTACGTAGCCTATCCCGAGAGTTGCAATATGTTTGGAAGAGACAGCATAAACAAATTGTTACTACCTTTTGGAACCTTGAACAACTGCGGCAAAACCATTTGGGCTATTCGACTCACTTCCTAATAAACTGTTTGGCCAAAAACAGGTGCAAACAATACTTGGTTGCTTTCTGCTCCCCTGCCAAAAGTTCAACTTTTAGTGGTTCAATGGAAAACCCATTAGTTGGCAAAAAGTTAAAGTCCTAGCATCCAAGCAGAATGCACCAAACAACATGTGTTCCCCTCAAAGAGCAGCCCCACAAAGTCTAAATCTTAAGGGCTACAGAACTGAGCGAGTCAGTCGAAGGAGCTGGGCTGAAAGCACTGCCGGCCCTTTCTTTGGGTCCTGTAGTCTCTGAAAAAACTTGAGGCATACACACGCACGCCCCAATACACGCCGCATGGTGCAACCTGGGTATGGCTCAAAAAACCGGAATTCCAACATGGGTTGCCCTGGTAAGTGGAGAAAAAATAGACCAACACCTGTGTAACCCTAGCTCTTTAATTTTGAGCCACTGCCACATGTGTTTTGCTCTCCCTTTTTGGTGGGCCAAAGGGGAAGACACATTTGCAGAAGGGGCCCTGAAGTTTAGTCGAGCTGTTTTGATTCCACCGTTTTGTCCCGTTTTAAAGGCGGGTGCCAAAGGAAGATTCGCAGTCCCAACCCCTGGGCTGCAGAAATCCTGTAGCTTCGAGGAAAGGGGGTCCCTTCACTTGCACCCCATATTTTGAGCTTAAAGGGGTGGGTTATCTTTGACTTTGAGCTTAAAGGAAAGGGGTGCATGTATCTTGTCTTCCCTCAAAATGAAGCCGCCGCA